TTCTGTGACATCTCTGATAATATTATTTTCTTTTATTTGTTAATACTAGGTCTATTATATTGTCACCTCTAGTAGGTTCTGTAATTAGTTGTATAAAAAAATTGTCCTGTACTGTTTAGAAGTCTTCAGATTCATAATCACCTGCCAATGTTGTCCTGGTCAATATTTCTGAAGTTGAAATTCCCCATAATGCATACAGGTTGTTGCTACCCTACAAAATTTCCTGCCATATGGGCTGGAGCGCTTTTTTCCCAAGACTTGGGGGCCTAAATCACTCCCATAATTAGTTTTTTCTTCCTTCCGTGATTTCTACCCATACAGACTCGGTTCCTATTTCAATTTTATTGAATTACTAATACAACATTTTACTGTATCCTTGACGAAGAGTGTGACCCCTCTCCCCTTCCTACCTTCCTGTCCTTATGCAGGAAAAGGTTGTACCCTTCTATGGTACTCTGATAAATTTTGCTTCGCCAGATTCATCCAAAGTTTCGTGATTGTTATGACGCTCCAGCATTCTCGGTACATACAACTGCTCTCAGCAAGTCTATTTTATTTTAAATGCCCGAGACTGTTTGTATAGTATACCTTTCCAATTTTACTTCCCAGGACCTGCTTGTTTTTGACCCCACTTTCCCCGACTTCTCTAGGTATATGCTGATAACCAAGGAAAGAAGAAAACACGAGTTCCCAAGCCTTTCGTGTAATTCACATCTTCAGGGGTGAGTACAGACTAAGAGGAGTACAAAACAAGGTGTTTATATACAGAGGGTGAGTTTTGTAATCCTCTTTAGTCTGCACCCACCCTGAAGATGTGAATTACACAGCAGTAGGAACTTCGTGTTTTCTTCTTTTCTCCTTATGTATATATATATATATATATATATATATATATATATATATATATATATATATATATATATATATATATATATATATATATATATATATATATATATATATATATATATATATATATATGGTCAAAACTATATGGTAAAAATATAAGTAGTAATATATTCTCACAAGCCTTAAAATTGTCCATTTGGTTCATAGATAAGGTCTGTAAAATTTTATCCATATTCATTAACATTTAGAGGTCAATCCATTTTGCATATTATACTTGTAGTGTAGGACTGAATTTTCTGTCCACATGATACAGTCTTAATATACACAACACATTATATTGGGTATATTTCAATGTATATAGCCTAGTTGCCTATTTGGAAAGGGCAAAGAGTCAAGTATTGAGTCATAGGGACTGACAATGACAGGTTGAAACAGGAAACACAGACAAGGGTTACCATTAATCAGATGAAGTTACTTATTTCATTTATATCTCATCAGTTCTACAATTATTTCATTATCAATCTAAATAGTATATTATGCAGGTTTCCATCTTGTGTCATGGCATATGAATGGCAGGCAATTATTACCTGTATGTGAGATTCTGGCATGAAGCACCAATGGCTGTTCGAGCTCCATTCAATGATTTGCAGCTAATGAAGGTTTTAAAGGAATATCCTCATGAGAAAGTTGCACACGCAGCAAGCAAGCAATTAGCCGACATCTCTGGTATCTATCAGAACATCTTATCGGTCTAAGCTTATTTGGTGACAGGATCGATACTGAAACCAAGAAGAATATGGTACAAAACATCCAGTGCCAAAGAAACAGGACTTTTCAAGGCGTATTGTCCCTATCTGATGAAACTCCTATCAGTAATGTGGCCTCATTTGTTACTGAGCGTACATTAGATATTTTGATGTTCTTACACTAGATGGCAAAGAAAGAGCACAACTGTTCTTGAGTAGGATCCCAAAACATGGAAAGACGATGAAGTGTTTATCACAATGAGAGATCGTGCGATAAATATGAAGGTGGTGAATGACAGCGCAGAGAGGGCAATTGTGCTCATAGAGCGTTATAATGAGTCTATAACGCAAAATGAGGACCAAAAGCAGTACCTTTACAGGTTGTTGCAGCTCATCGCAAGAAGTTACCAACGGCAAGCAAAGCTGCTATGATGAAGGGATACAAAAAGAAGAATGTGTATTGGTGTTCTAGAGTTATTTAGTTTGTAATTTGTAAAACTTATAATTGTATTTTGCTGAATAAAGACAATGTGTTTATAATGTGTTTATCTAGCCCTGAAAAAATCCTTATTATGTACTAAATGGAAAAAAAGAGGACATTGGATTGACCTCTAAATATGCCTTTAAATGATCCAATTTTTTTCTGGGTGCATTTTGTACCTAATGGACAAAAATAAACCTTGTGGAGAAAACGTATACAAATATGTGATATTTTGGACTAATTCTAAATATATATATATATATATATATATATATATATATATATATATATATATATATATATATATATATATATTATGCTGATAACCACAAGAAAACGCGAAGTTCCCAAGCACTTTCGTGTAAGTCACATCTTCAGGGGTGAGTACAGACTAAGGAGAAATACTTGACAAGGCTAATATTTACCGTAGAGGAGAGTGAGATCAAGTCCCTAGGGGACAGCAGGTGTCCACAATGTTCGGGTCATAAGGCAGTTTGATGTAACGTTACTCTTTACAAAGGTCCCAGTTGATGATTTACTGGAGTTCCTCACAGGTTCCCTGGATAATATTTCATTGCCAGTCTCGAAAGATGATTTCATCGAACTTATCAAACTATGTATTAAGGATTGTAAATTTGAATTCAATGGAGAATATTATGCTCAAAAAAATTGATATGGCAATGGGTAATCCGCTTTCAACAGTATTAAGCAACTTAAAGTATATATGGAATTCTTTGAGAAGAAACTATTCATTAAGTAATATTTTACCACCTTCAGCAGTCTGGTTTAGATACATATATACCTTAATGTGCCTTTGGCCATGTAATGAGGACCTAAAAGCTTTTCTACCACAACTTAACAACTTAGCCCCCTCAATCAAATTCACTGTGGAATTAGAGAATAACTGCAAATTACCATTCCTAGACTGTCTGATCCACAGAATAGGTAACACCTTTAAATTCAGTATTTATAGGAAACCTACTAATGTGTTTATACATTCATATAGCACCTATTTCTTTTAAGATTTTAAGTTTCACTTTCATACACCATTGCCAATACTACATAGATTCATGACATGTTTAATCCTTTACCAGACAAGCCACCTAATTTATGAAGTATCAAAAAAATGCTCTTATTATGTTAGAATACCAGGTATCCCTCGTTTGGTGATTAGGATGTGTACTTGAAAAGCTGATCACTAAACGAGGGGAAAACGAGAAATAATATCAGTGGACCCTGAACCTGATCCTGAATACTATCATCAAGAAGATTCCCCCTAATCCTCACCCAACCTCAACTTAGGAGACAGATCATGTGACTTATTAGTTGGCTGAAGAGGGTACCAGTATACCAATGGCAAGATTTCGTCTTCCATTTCTTCAATATGGGCTTTTACTTCATTTACCAGTGTTATCATTACACTTTCGGAATATCATCTACGTATTATCAGCTCACCTCGCAATGTAAGTGTTACATTTATTTATTATTGTATTATTTACTTATTATTACAGTATACTGTACTGTACTGTGACATGCTTATTGGTGTGAGACGAGCATGGTGATGTGTTTTGATAGAGATGTGTGTGACAGTTTAAATAACCGACGAATAATTTACCTGTTAAGAAAAAAGAAGAAAAAATATTTATTGCATACTCACAGGAAAATCTTATTGGGTTAGACCTGTGTGTACACGTGTGTGAAGGTCGATTGCTTTAAATTCATGTTTGCCTCAGTTTTAAGGTCTTCATTACCGCCATAGTGCGAGACAAGTTACTGAATGTGAACATGACTATTTATATTACTCGTTTTACTTCTGTTAAAAGAAACATACTTAGCAGTTAGGACTCATTTTTTTATTCATATCGAAATACTGTATTAAGAAAATTCTTGACTCATAAATTTCTCCCAAGTTAATCTAATCGTTTAAGATATTTTTTTATATTAAGACTATGACGTAAATAGTTAAAATACTGATGAAATATAATTATAATATGTAGCCGGCAGTATTTGCCGAAGGTTGTGGTTGGATTATGACTGATTAATTATTTGTAATTCTATTAGTTGCTTCCGTCTTGCCATTTGTTTTGAGGAGGGAGGGCGGTAATGCGACTTTTAATTTATTCAATCTATATATATTTTGTTTTAGAATAATATTAAAATTAAAAGTTATTAGATGCTAATAAAACCTGTCGAGACTTTCTTTTGACGCGACGAGGATGGCGAAGCGTGTGACCTGAGAGTTTCTGAGGACCCTTGGCGAGGCTAGCCTGAGCGATGATATTGATAATAATGGAGAGAATTATATACACCATGAAAATAACCAAAAGTATTCAATATCGTTTTTATTGTTTCAGTTTGTTGTAATAATGACACAATTCTATTTATATTTGGCCATAATAACAGATTATAAAAAATAATCTATTTTAATGGTGACAATGATATTTGAAACACTCCGAACGTCTCTGACACAATTCCACCGCCCGACTTACGGCGCCTACTAAGATGCTGGTTTGTATTTTTGTAAGTATATAAGATGATGAAATATATAATTAACAATAAGTCTTATTTAAGTTTCATGCTTCGTGTGAGCAAACTTTTCTCTGTGATTTTGACTATTGCAACAAGGGAAGTTTTCGTTATATTAAGGTATCAAACTAGGAATTCAATGACTAACTTATCTTGATGACAGAAAAGGCTCGAAAGATATCACAAGAGGAGATTTTGTTATCTATATAATTGATTTTTATAAAATATTTGATCGTACTATAAATATTTAATACGTACATATGACCACAGTAAAATTATATTTTCTTTGTGTTCCTGAATAAATGAGGATTAAATATGCGACAAAGAAAGGTACATGGCACTGAGCGAGGAATGTCTTGGGGTGTTGAGGTAAGGCAAGTCAGTCAGGTGTCGTTGGACAGTGTGGTGAGTTACCCTACACGTCGGGGCGGTGTTTGTTCTTGCACCTGGATATATAAAACTCGTATACATATTCAGTATACGGATAAAGTGGATACTAATCGGTACTTTAGTGTTATTGTAGTGTAGTACTGTGGATAGTCGTAGGTGAAGGGGTACGCAGCGCTACGTCTTTACCAAAGGTAAATATTTCAAATTTGTTTTTTTCTTAACCACATATTGTTTATATGCATTTAGGATTCGCCTTTGATACCTTCGTTATAATTGGAATTGTAACTAAGCTTTTGGAAAGAGAATTAAGTGCTTTCAGTAACATTACCAGAAACAAGAATAATCTAAAAGTGACACGGAGAAAAATATGCGTGTGAGGGATTTCAACGCCACCTGAAGGAAGCAGCCAACACTCCCACTTGGCCAGATGCCGGCGCTCTCTTGGAACTCATCTGTCTGTGTCGCTGTCTCTCTGCCCATGCTTCTAACCATTTAAATACGTCAGCAGTATATTTCCGAACCCAGTGTCATGAAAAGAGGTATTTTCTAGACCGACTTACCCTGCTAGTTCTTGCAGGAGGAGATATGGATAAACCGACTGCCTCGAGTCACCTAGCCTAGGATGTTGGCGGCCACCCAGCCACCCACCCCCGGCCGGTCATCAGCTAGGCGGCCGCCCAAACACCCTCCCCTGGCCGGTCAATAGTTAGGTGACGCTAAGAATTCCTACTGGGTTCACATCCAGGACCCAAAGAGGTTATATGTGCGTGAGATTAGTAGAATTTGTGTTAATTATTAGAATTTGTTGGAGAAAACAGTGTGTTGAGAGTGTGTGTGTGTGTGTGTGTCGGGTTGGGGGAGACAGTGTGCCCACAACTAGTATGTGATCAGAGTTTAAATGACAGTCCGAAGGTTGAAAGCTTCTGCTGAAGAGCTGAAACTTAGAAGAGCTCTGAAAATTCCAATGTGGATTTTAGAATTTTCTTTGGGTAGTTACACATTTTTTCTTGAGTTCAGAGGTTGTGCTTGAGGTTCAAATTTTGTGTATAGGGTTCAGATATTCTGCCGGAGGTTCAAATTCTGTGTCTAGGGTTCCAAGGTTGTACTTGAAGTTCAAATTTTGTTTCCGAGGTTTAAAGTAGGCCTATGTGTCTGAGGTTAAATTTTGTCATAAGGTTAAAATTTTGTGCCTGGGGTTCAAAGTATATCCACGAGGTTCAAATAATGTGTGAGGTTCTAACTATGTATCTAAGGTTCAAAGAATGTGTCGGTCCTGAGGTTCAAAGGATGTGTCCAGTATTCAAAGTTTGGTCTGAGATTTAAAATAACTTGTCTAAGGATCAAATTTTGTGACTTGAGTTCTAAGTATGTGTAAAGTTCATAGTTTAGTCCTGAGGTTTAGCATATATATATATATATATATATATATATATATATATATATATATATATATATATATATACACACACACATATATATATATATATATATATATATATATATATATATATATATATATATATATATATATATATATATATATATATATATATATATATATATATATATATATATATATATATATATATATATATATATATATATATATATATATATATATATATGTGTGTGTGTGTGTGTCTACGGAATAAAAAAGAAGTGCCAAAATAAGTTAGTGCAATCAAAAGTTAAATTAACAAGCAAGTGAACACAAAGTAATAAATTGTAGACCTATCACACACCCAATATGATAAATTGATATATGAATACAATTGAGTTATCGTATACCATCCACTTAAACAAGATACTTCAGAATGATAGATAAAATAAACAGAATTTTGATCAAATTACATAGTTGATCAGCTTTCCCCAAATGTATCACCTGAAGATTAGACACCCCAGCCTATTTCACCTGATGCTTAAACAATCTTACGCTAACCTAACATAATCTAAGCTAATTTAATCTAACAGCCTAATTTAATAACCTAATCTAATGTGATCTAATTTAACCTAATTTAACCTTATCTACTATAGTCTAATGTATCCTAACCTAACTTAACCTAACGTAATTTACCAAACCTAGTCTAGTTTAACCTAACCCGACCCTATCTAAGCTAGTCTAATGTAACCCAACCCAACTTAAGCTAATCTAACTAACTTAACTTATCTAATGTAATCTAACCTAACATAACCCCAAGGAAGCCGAAGGAGTTTAATCATCAGGTGAAATATGCTGGGGTGTCTAGTCTTTAGGTATAATTTCTTACTTCCCGGGAACCTGTATATATAAAAACCTCCCTCTCTTGTGGTCTTATGCTGGAGAGGTCCTCTTGATTAGCGGATGGAGGAGAGGAGAATCCTGGTGTTCATCTCTGAAGGATGCCTTGGTCAGGAGACTGGAGTGGGGTGGGGTGTAGGCCAGTAGGGAGGGGGTGGAGCCAGCGGGCCGAGATAGGGTGGGTGCCGGCAGGCAGGAGTGGGGGCTAGCGAGCCGTTGTGGGGTGGAAGCTAGCAGCCACGGATGAGGTGCGGGCTATAGCAAGCTTGGGTTGGGTGGGAACCAGCAGACAGGAGTGAGGTGGGGGGCCAGCAGGCAGGGGAGGGGTGGGAGCCAGCTAGCACAGGTGAGATGGGTGCCAACAGGCAGTGGTTAGGTGGGGGCCAGCAGGCAGGGGTGAGGTGTGGGCCAGGAGGCAGGGATGAGGTAGGGGTGGGGAGCCAGCAGGCAAGTGTGGGGTGGAAGCCAGCCTGCAGGCAGGGGTGGGGTGGGGTCCAGCAGACAGAGGTGGGTGGGGGCCAGCCTGCAGGCAGGGTGGGGTGGGGTCCAGCAGACAGAGGTGGGGTGGGGCCAGCCAGCAGGTAGGGGTGAGGTGGAGCCAGCAGACAGAGGTGGGGTGGGGCCAGCCTGCAGGCAGGGGTGGGGTGGGGTCCAGCAGACAGAGGTGGGGTGGGGGCCAGCCTGCAGGCAGGTGGGGTGGGGTCCAGCAGACAGAGGTGGGGTGGGGGCCAGCCTGCAGACAGGGGTGGGGTGGCAGCCAGCAGGCAGGGGTGGGGTGGCAGCCAGCAGGCAGGGGTGGGACGGGGGGCCAGTGGATACGTGGGTCAATCGGTCAGTCAGCGGTACTGCTTATTACCGGGATGTGGGTTCGTGTCCGTCTGTGTGTGTACATATGTGTGTTCCTATTCATACATACAGGTTAGTTGGGTTGAATGTATTGTACACATAAGTCATAAGTTTTAGGGATAATCGTCCAATTAAACCTGAAAACTTAACGGACTGTCTTGCGAATGAGGATAATAAATTTTTGTTATAATCTATGAAAATTATTGTTTGTATGTTCAAATGACTTTGTTATATGTAAGATTGTATAATGGCTCTTGAGTGCATATCTGTTCTAATTTAAAAAAACTTCCCAAATATTATAAAATTATCGTCGTGTCGTAGTTACTCCTGAAACGCGGCAGGTGACCCCGTTTCAATATGCTCACATGTATGTACAATACTGGACGTGTATTTGCAATTAAGATTGATTCTCTATTTGTGTTTGTAGTTATACTCAGGAACTTTAGCATATTTGTCTCACTTTACAATATATTAGTCTTAGAATCATACTACTGTGTATGCGTTGTTAGGGGTGCTAGTCGTCCTAGGTAACTTATCTATGGCGCTTCCTACCTGCCCTCCATTTTTTTCTTGTTCACTCAAGACGATATTAAATTCATCAACTTTTTAAAATCCGTATAGAGACTTCACAGCTTCGTTATACTGCAGACGCGTTCATTTACAACCTCGTCCCTTGTGGCCAGCTACCAATAATATTATTCCTCGTGTGTGGATCAATCACCGGGTTGTGAAGACGGAGGTCCAGCAGGAATCAGAATTCAGTTCATTCCGGCTACACTGTACTCAATGGGAGATGTGTTCTACCATGTCTGTATACCATAAACACCTGACTAAAGTGTGGATTCAGAGGGTGGGATGCACAGTACCCACTTTGGTATAAAGGCACCCCTACAGGTAGGGTTATGGTGTGTCCTGGTGGGGGTGAGGGTGAAGCAGAAGTATCGGTTTGTCTACCAATAACCCTTCACTGTACGGTAACGGTACTTGAAAGCGGGCTCATGAGGCCTCCCTCCACCAGATAGTCCCGTGTTGAACTTGTCACCGACGGACTCAATAGCCGAGGCTGACACGCCTCGAGACCCTTATAGTACCGCAGTCATTACTCCCAAGTTATTACTTGACTGTGAACTCACCTAACAGCGGTCCTTACTTCCGGCTGTACTGAACTGCTTGTTATGATTTAATGTTGTGTGTAGCAGAGGTGGGGGGGGGGGGAAGCAAATACTTCCTCCTTAGCATTGATGGTGATCTTGACCCCCAAAAATATAACTTTCTCTCCGTCAGACGGGGACATCCCTCCCACACGTAGACGCTCCTTAACCTTTGAGCCTTCCTCACACATCCTAACACTTGTCTGAGTCAGCCTTTGGTTAATCGATGAATCTGTGACTTATTACTGTTTATGGTTGGCTGGAATCGTGACTCAGCAGCACAATGCCTTCATGAGTCGCATTACACATGAATATAAATATTCATGATATTTCGGATCTCACGAACAATAGGAACCTCCGCTTATCTCGCCTGATGATCAAACACCTTTAGACGTTTCCAGGAGATGATGAAGTAACATGTTAATAATCTTTATGGATACTAATTATTATTATACTAAGCAGACTCCATCGATATGCTTTATTGGTTAAAGAAAATTAATGATACTAGTAGGTTGGTAGAGCAGCTGTACATTACACGTGAGCCAAGACAAGTGAAATATAGTAATTATTATTGTCTTGCTTCACACATAGTATATACGTCATGCATCATCATAACGTGTTCTGTTCATTGCATAGAGTTACTTAATAGTTGATGCATTGATAGGTAAAACATTTTTGGTGTAATTTTAGTAAATATGTAGTTGTCATATGAAGTAAAATCAACAAGACTATCAGATCTAGAACAAGGCCATTTCCCTGAATCTCGCGACACAGAGCGTCAACATTACCCCGTCTGACATATAGTGGAATATAGAACACATTATAAATTCTTTAAGATTGAAGTCCCAAGTGTTAGACGAGATTGTTCTACCGTTTTGCTACTTGGAGAATTCGTATCTCTCTTGACAAGTTGCTT